CTTAGACGCAAACTGTGTTTAGACGCAAACTGCGCTTAGACGCAAACTGCGCTTAGACGCAAACTGTGTTTAGACGCAAACTGCGCTTAGACGCAAACTGCACTTAGATACAAACTGAGAATTAGCTTTTCCATCATAATAGTTTTTATTGAACGAACGCAGCTTTTGGTTTTAATCGCTGTAAGATTTCCGCTGCACTAATTCACCCCCCCTCTTAGTGCTCTCGATCCTAACATATATCATATAGTGCTGACCTAAATTAAACTAACTCACCTGAGTCTTGGACAAGTCACATGTGCTGCACATGCATATCTAAAGTAATAAGTGACAATCATAGATGTCTTATAAGTCAATCACGTGAGACATGATATGTACTTTTTTTTTATTATAAAAAATCATCTTATATCATTATTTAACATCGAAAGACACTACATAAACCATCTTTAATTGAAGAGTTTATCAAAAACTCAAGTATCAAATATCAAAAAATCAAGATCATGATTAGGATAAAACTTATTTAAATTCAAATTGTCAAATAATCAAAATCACTTTTAACAAATTCAAAATGACATAAATAGATTCATCAAAAACTTGATAATATTTTAGGGATAGAGACATTTTCAATAATAATGAATTTCCTTTTTTATGTGTTTCAATTTATGTTATTTATTTTATACAAGCATGCCTTTGCCTTTTTATGCCAAATAAAAACATGCATCGTCGTTTAAAATCGAAAACCAAGATTTTATAAAAATCATTAAGATCAAATATGTAACAAAATAATTTCAAAATATAAGATTTCAAATAATCATTACATCATTAAATCATCATGATTTCATTGAATATAAAGCATATTCAATTAAAATTATTTTGTTATCGATAATTTTAATTCTAATGATCTTTCCTTTATTGTTTTGGCTAGAGAGCTTTATGAAGTATTTTGGATCTCAGTCGAGCATCCACTATCAAAATATCATTTTTGCTCCTAACTTATGATTGTAGATATATCTACAAGAAAGGAAGTTTTCTTTTAGGTACGTACCCATTTAACCTTGGGTTACTCATAAATATATCTATCTAACTTATCATTTTGCATTGAATCATTTAAGATTCCTTTAGGGACTCATATTTACTATATCTCTTAAATGGACATTTATGAGCACAATGTCCAAATTTATAACAAAAGTTGCATTTGTTTCGGGGTGAAACATGTAAAGTTGGGCCTTTAACAAAGATGATTGGCTTTTAGTGAGTGTTACCCACAAAGCCAATTCCTTCCTTTCTATGTACATTACCCTTATTAGCAATGATCATGTATTAATAAATTTTTCTTTTTAAATGATTTTAATTCTACACATTAAGTATAAGGAGTTAACATACACTTATCATACTCACTTTTTAATTGTTCTAAGTTTACTAGAGAGAAAATCATAATCCTTTTTTAATAACTTATTCTTTTTGCTAACTAATTTAAAATCATCAAATAAATCATTAAAAGCATTAAATAATTCATCATAAGATAAATAAGATTCGTTTAGGTCACATCCCTCATCATTGAGCGTTATTAGAGCATAATTTATGACTTCTTTATTGGTTGGCTCCTCGTCTTCGGATGCACTCGAATTGTCCCAAGTAGCTTTTAGCGCCTTCTTTTTCTTTAGTTGCTTCTTCTTTACTTAGGGACATCCATTTTTGAAATGCCCTAGCTTCTTACATTCATAGCAAATTGTTTGATCTTTTTTAAGTTCATTTTTATTTTTAATATCTTGTTTAGTTTTATTCCTTTTATGAACTTTTTTAAAAAAATTTATTAGAAGTTCCAAGTTATCATCATCGTCATTATCATCACTGAGTTTTCTCTCAAGTAGTCTTCTTGAGTTCGAAGTGTCAAATCCTTCATGTTCTTTGGAAGGTTGTTCTCAAGTTCTTCATATGTATTGCACGTCATTTCGTAGGTCATCAAAGACCCGATAAGTTCTTCGAGTGGAAAGTTGTTCAAGTCCTTGGCTTCTTGAATTGCAATTACTTGATCCCAACTCTTTGGAAGGGATCTTAATATCTTGTTAACAAGTTCAAAATTAGAAAAACTTTTACCAAGTGCTTTTACACCATTAACGACATTCGTAAACCGGGTGTACATGTCTCCAATAGTCTTGCTTGGTTTCATGCGAAACAATTAATAACTATGAACTAAAAGATTAATTTTTGACTCCTTAACTCTACTCATGCATTCACGTGTGATTTCAAGTATATGTCAAATGTTATAAGTTGTTTCGCAAATAGAAACTCGATTAAATTTATTTTTATCCAAAGTATAAAATAAAGCATTCATAGCTTTAGCGTTCAAAGAGAAAGTCTTCTTCTCCAAATCATTCCAATCGTTCATTGAAAGAGAAGACTTTTGAAATTCGTTTTCAATGATATTCCATAACTCGAAATCCATAGAAATCAAGAAAATCCTCATTCTAATTTTCCAATAAGTGCAGTTCGTTCCATTGGACATGGGAGGACATATGATAGAATGATCCTCTTGATTACCGACAAAAGCCATCTCTCTTAGGTTTTAAACCAAATTGAGAGTAACCTTACTATGATACCAATTATTATTATTAATACGACACTAAGAGGGGGGAGTGAATTAGTGCAACGATAAAAATTACGTTGATTTTGAAAACTTCATTCAATAAACTAGTTTTGATAAAGCTCGTATCGGAAAGTAATGAAAGTAATGACTTAAAATAAATGTAAAGTATAGAGCACAGCTAAGTAATGAAAGAAGGTAGTAAGGAAATAACATACCAGATTTATAGTGGTTCAGGTGTTGTGACCTACATCCACTTCTGATTCCTCCTCCGTCGAGGTCATCAACGTCCATCAATGGTCTTCCGTCAACAGGCGAAGACCAACCACCTTCTTACAAAGCTTTCTCATTTTCATGGGTTCAGGAGACAACCCTTACAAGCCTTACACCTCTTCTCTAATAATTATAAAGCTGAAGAAATAGGATGAGGACTCGTAACACTTTACAACACTTTTATACCCCAATATTTAAAGATTTTTTTATACTTTTCTGCTCTTTTTGTTACCCTTTCATATAGAAAGAAGTGGGGTATTTATAGGCCTCAAATGTTTTAGAATTGGAGCCAAAAAGTGTCTCTTCTTGGATTTTCAGGGTACTGACGGTACCACTGCTTGACACTCTGACACTAGGCGGTGCCACCGCCCAGTCTGATGGTACTACTGCTTGATAGAGTATCGGAGACTGGGCTCTAATGGTATCATCGCCTGGCAGCATCAACTGTCGACGATACCACCGCCTAGACCACCTAGGATGCTGAGCCTCAAGTGGTGGCACCGCCTAGGGGCAAGGCTCCAAGTGGTCGAATGGGCCTTCCATCTGGCCCAACCCAGCCTTGTCTTGGGCCCAATTGGCCCATAATTGAGCTAGTAGGATTTTTCTCAAACCTAACTCAAATTGAACCCCTAACTACGATAATTAAAGGCATAGACAATTAAAACGTAAGTAATCTTCATTGTCCGTCATGTCAATTGTTCATCTGAACTCCCGATGAGACTTTCGGCGAACTTCCGGCAATCTTTCGATGAACTCCCATCGATCTTCCAACAAGCTTTCGATCTTCCAACGAGCTTTCGCTGCATCGTCTGATCCTTCGGTGTATCTCCCGATTCATCCAGCCCGATGCTTAATCATTGACTCCCGCCCAACTTCGATTCTTTAATCGCTTTACCTTTCTCATAATTATAGTTAGTCCTGGATCACTTATCTCAACATATGGATTAGATCATTAATTCACTAATTGATGTCATCATCAAAATCCGAGATTAAACGAGGAGGACAATTGACCTCCTTCATCCTCTCCCATATATCTATAGGAATTCAAGGATAAACGATCTCCCTATGTAACACAATCTTTTTTGTATGGGTAGTTTTTTGGTTTTGTAGGTTTTTGCGCACTAATCTTTCTATGACGATAAAACCTTTTTTTCTACGAAAAATTTTGGGATTTTTATTTTCTATTCTTCCATTGCGCATGTGATTCGCTCCAGATTTTCCAACATTATGTTGAGTTGAGATACAACAAGCTAAATAGAGGAGTGATAATATGTCTAATGCCAATCGCATAACTAGTAGGCTTAACTTCATAGACTAGGCTAAGTTGGGGTTATGTCATGCCTAGACACATTAGTTGGGGTTATGTTTGACTACATGGATTGGGTCATACCTGGCTGTATAAAGCCGCATAGTTGAGTCGTATCTTACCATATGGGCTAGGTCATATATGGCCATATGGATTGGATAGTACCTAACCACATGAGTTGAGTCATGCTTGGCCATGTCGGTTTGATCGTACCTTGTCACATAGGTTAGGACGTACATGGCCATATGGCCAGCATCGTACTTAACCACATGGATTGGGTCGTACATTGCCACATGGGCTAGCTCCTACATGATCACATGGGGTTGGATCATACCTAGTCACATGGGCTGAGCTATACCTAGTTACATGAGCTGGATTATACATAACTACATGGGCTAAGTCGATCTGGTCTAATATATTAACTTGACTTAGACCCCGATTAAACTCCTCTTATCAAATTAGATTTTAATATTTTAAATTATTAAAAAATAACTCAAATCCATGAATTAAAAATTTTAAATTCATGATCTTAAATTTAAAACTAATTACATCATAGAAATTCACACATAATTCTTGAAACATAAATATATCTAATTAAATGAATTAAATTTATTATATTAATAAAAAAATTTAATAATTAAATCAATATTAAAATTTAATTTAAACTTTTTAATTTTCTTTTTATTTTACTTACACACCCAAAGATTAAATATAATATTTACTTATTATGATTCACACGTATACTATTTACTTTCTAAAAATCACATCACTTATTAGTTAGGAAATAAATCAAACATCACTTATTAGAAAATAAATCAATTTATAATCGAATTAATTAGTAAAATTTTTAATTTATCCACATGATTCAGGAAATCAAATTTAATCATTTCCTTAATTATAATACACATGAAAATTAATAATAAAATAATACATTATTTATAATAATTAATTTATATTAAGGAAAAAAATATACCTATATTATGAAAGAATTGCATATATGGAAACTTCAGGTGAAACACGTAGGAAATAAATTCTAATTCCTTAAATTCATATCATTATATAATCATTTCATCTGCTGCTGTTAACATACTCCATGACTTGAAGAAAAAAGGGCTTCTCAACCGATTCAGTGACATCAAAATCAAAAGCAAGCCTTTGACAAGTTGAGACCAGCAATGAAGAACAATTGCAACAATAAAACTTGAAGCACAAGATAAATGACAAATTATGATCAATTCATGTAAATAAGTGTCCATCTTTTACCTCTAATACTGAGTCCATGTGGTCCTATTGTTATTCTCCAATTAAAACAAGAAATGTGCAATTAGGGTAACAAAAATGTCTCAGATATGTAGTAAGAACGTTTTCAAGATCTACTGGTGGCCGGCAGGAGGCTCCATTGCCTGAGGAGGTGGTGCTGCTGCTGTCTGAAGCTGTGTTTGTCCTGGTGGGGGTGGTCTGGGCCTTGCATACTCTGCAAAAATAACCCATCCATCTAGAAACTGCATTCAAAAGGAAGAAATGTGAGAGAGGATGAAGACCGGTATTCCAAAAAAAGAAAAACTAAAAGATCCACTCGAAAATTGGCCACTGTCGATGAACAGTGCAGTCAATAAAAAAAAGAAATGAAAATTCTATGCAGTGTACTATAATGGTCCCATCTGCCCATGGAACCTCTTGATAACTTCTGGTCTCAGCCATCCGTTTGTTCTGATCAAATCAAATTTATAATATTTATTTTCTAATTATGATGCAACTGATATGCCATTTATGTATGGATAGAGGAATACATAGAGTTGGACACGGTAAAATGAGGAACTGGAAGAAAGCTATGATAGAATGGATGGTTTTAAATGAGACCCTTCTATGTAGAATTCCCATTCATAACGTAAAATATCAACTTGGTATAATGATCTGCAATTATAAAATCCAACGGACTAAAATTCTTGATGTGAATATTCACAGCACAAAATATAAAGATTCACAGAGTATATATAAAATTTGAGTTACGACTCACCTTGCCATCCATGCCTTTTATTCCAGCTTCTGCTTCTTCCAGTGTGGCATATCTAACAAAACCGAACCCTTTGGAATATCCAGACACACGGTCCGTCACAACCCTAGCTGTATATAAGATGCTATTAGCATCTATGGATATGATCTAATAAAGAAAACTTTTCTCAAGACAATAAGATACCATGGACTACTTGCCCAAATTTTGAGAAAGCTTCCCACAGTCCCTCAGATGTAGTTCGCTTATTCAGTCCTGCAAACCACTTTGCTCTAATAAAGGAGAACACAAATTGAAAAAAAACTGACATTACACTAACAATGTTAAAGAAAAACAAAAACTACAGAAAAGAGAAGACTTTTAAGATCTGCATATCGACTGTAATCTGTTTGATTTGTGAAAGAGAACCAGTGTTAACATTGACTTGTCTAGGAACCAAAAAAGGTTGGCTATTCTTACTGGCGCCATAACAATCCAAGATGACTCTGTTCACACCAACTCCAACAGGTAGCAATCCTATTATGATCATCAATTTGCTTGATTATCTGTTCTTATAATTTATCATTTCTTAGCAAATAGATGGCTCTCTTGGAAGGTTCCATCTATAATAAATAATGCAACACTAGTCCATATTGGTCAGAAGGCCTCAATCTGACAACAGATCTGTCTTCTGACTTATGTTCGCATACACAAAATTATATCTCAAATTATCTTACATGGAGTAACTACAAGTCAGGAGACAACAGAAGCAAACTCATGCAACATAAAATTAAGTCTGTTGCATGATCAACAAATTAAGAAAATAGTTCATACTTAATGGCTAAGGGCCAACCAAAAGATCCAACTGGCCTGCCTTGAGTCGATTATTAAGTCAAAGAGCTAATTTGTGTACAAAAAATGAACTAAAAACTTCTTATATATCAATTCAGCTAGCATCTTGTTAATATGAAAGACAGGAAAAAGACAATACAGCACACACAGAGACCCAAAAATTATCACACACTAACACAAACATAACTCATTAATAAAAAGAAAAAAAGAACATTGCAGCAATAAGTTTCCTACGAAATATATTGCAATAATCTGTTACCCCTTTTGGTTCTGAGTTTCCCAATATTGCTAATTCTAAAAGAACTCACTTAGACTACAATCAATGTCAGCACATCTCTTTTCTTCTTTTTTTTTTCCTTCATGCAAGGGTAAATGACAAAAGAGAAATTTAAGCCAAGATCTCGGGATAATCCGTCAAAGTGACACTTTCAGATATATCAGATATGGTTCTCACTTTGATAAGTGGTTCTGGTTTATCACCATCAAACCAATGTTTAAGATTAAAAATAAATAAATATAAACACATATGATAAGAACTGTAGAGGGTGCAACTAGTTCCCGAGATATACTACTTTGTGTTGTTTATAAGTCCTAGCAATTTGCTTCTACTTCACAGACCAAGAATCAGAAGATGGTCTTATAGTCCATGCCAGTGACTACACCCAAACCAACCATTTCATTATAAGGTGCTTGGTTCGAACAAACCAAAATTGCCAAATGTCTACCATGCATATAGATTGTGCATGAAGAACCTATCATCTCTTACATGTAAGAGAACTTGAGGGCATATGACAACGAGATAACCCCTAACAAGGAACCTGCAGCATTCTTTCTGCAGAAGACTTCTAATGCATAATTTAACTCACATGGTAGCTTCGAATACAAAAGTCGTGATATTTTCAAGTATAAGCAACCTCAAGAACAAGAACAGCTAAAAAGATCCAAAACTGCTACTAGCCCAAATCAAACATCTCAAAAAAAGAGTTTTTTCTCTAAATTCGTGGAGATGTCCAAGAAATAAAAGAGGTCTAATTACATATTACCCTCTGTAATTAGATCTCATTGGCATCCTGATCCCTATACTTAAAAAGCTTAAATTGAAATCCCTATAGTTATGAAAATGAAACATCTAATTCTATTTACCCTAACATCGTCAGTTTTACCGACGAAAGCAAAAGACAAAAAGATAATTTTAATGTTTTAATTGATAGTGACAAACGACATCAGTGGCAGCGGACGACGGCACTGTTGTGGATGAGGAGAACGACGACGAGAGATGAGAGCCCCTCGACAACTGCATCGACGTCGACGCGGACGCAGACGCAAAGCAGCCCTCACCTCTCGTCGTCGCTCTTCTCATCTACAATAACCACCCGAGCAGTCCTTTCATCGCTCTACATCTACGTCAGCATCGACGTAGTTGCCAAGTGATGAAAATACCATCAATGCAGATGCAGAGCGACCCTCACCTCTCATCGTCGTTCTCCTCATTCACAACAACCACTCGTGATCTCAACAGTATCGCCACCACTGTTTTCGTATTTCATTAGACGACATTAAGTTAAATGAAGTTAAATGTTTAATTTTCAAAACGGATTTCAATATAACTTTTTTAAGTTTAGGGAATGAGATATTTAGGAGATCTAACTATAGAAATAATCTGTAATTAGTCAAATAAAAGATCATGATCACAACCAAGAAAACTGATCTTCTAAGCAGAGGACAAGAGCAGGATGAGACCCTTCCAGATCTTGTATCCAATTCTAGAACCAAAATGAACAATAAGGGTAGAAAAGGCGATATAAAATAACACGGAGTCTTGCCTGAGACGAAGAGGTTGGTGGACGGCTCCGCCGCCGGGCGGGCAGCCGCTGGAAGCGGAGGAGAGAAGGCGGAGATGGAGAAAAGCCGCCGAAATTCCGACTCCGATGCCGGGGCTGCGGCGGCGAGAGGCGGAGGAGAGATGGCGGAGATGGAAAAGAGCCGCCGGAGTCCCGCCCTCGCCGCCGCCATCTCTCTCGCTCCCTCGTTCGTCTCTGTGAATGTTCTCGAACCGCCACGGCGCTACACGCGAGAAACTTCTAAATGTTTTCGACGTCAAATGCCTAAAATACCCTCGTCGCTGTGTTTAGACAGAGAAAATTATTCTTTATAACCTCCTTTTTTTTTACCGTTTATAATCTTATTTTGACAACCCTTTGTTATTGATAATCTTTAAAAATAAAACATTATTTTATTATTTACAACTCATATATTATCAATTTTTTCCCTCCATAACCCGTTCATCGTCCGCTGATCCTTCTTGTTTTGAGCATTCCCTCGTCTCGTTTCTCTTTTCAAGATGACTCGCATGACCAACGGAACCCTTGCCTCCTCTCAGCCTCCGTTCCGAGGTCGACGATGGAGATCGTCTCTTCGAGATGACTGATGGCTTGCGAATACATATTTATATTGGAATGAAATAATACATTAAATATTTTAATTTATTTTTTAAATATAATTTATATTAAATAATATCAATTAACTTTTAATTGATTTAAATTCTAATTTAATCGAGATCTAATTGAACTTAATTTAATTAGAACATAATTGAATCAATCCCTAATACTTATTTAATCAGTCTAAAATCAGCCTAGATTAGATTAGATTTAATTTAAATTAAATAAACTTAAATAAATCAAATCGATTGATCTAAATTGATAAAATCTGAATTAATTCGATCAATGTTTAAGGCCTAATTAAACAAAGTACATGCATGCTTCATAGGCTGACCTACCGATTGGTCATATGCATGTGATTATTCATATTGGTCTGGGTCAAGTTAGACTAGGGCCTAACTAACTTGTTAGATGGGCTTAACGGATGAGGGCCCAAGTTGATTTCAATCCAAATCCTAACTAATTCTTTTAATTTTAAATTATAATATCATGGAATTATAATTAAAACATCTAATTATTATTAATACATAATAAATAATAATATATTACAAATAAAATTATATAAGGGAAATAAATAATATTTAAATTATTATATAAATCTAATAAAAAATAAGTATTATAATGTATCATGCAGGGAAGATAAACACTTTAGAAAACTGTACATAACATAAATAATTATAATATATTTTAATCTAAAAATATAATTTTAAATAATTGAAAAAAAATAAACAAAAATTAAGAAAGATAAAAAAACTTACCCCTTATTAGATGCAACTCTTTTTTGCTTTTGCATTTGGCTTAACGAGTAATGATAGAGAAGAACTTAAATAAGAAAGATGAGTAATGGTAGAGAAGAACCCCAACAGAGATTTTATTTCACGTCAGGGATAAAAGGTTGGCCTACGCTTTCCTTCACGTCCCAAAGGTAACTATACACTTGTTAATACATCAATCTTTTGCTTCTGACCATTGAGTAAAGACATTGGATACTATAACCTTGGTGTGTTCTTGAGTTATCCTTGAGATTTTTTGGCCAATCAATCTGATGTTTCTATTTACTTTAAGCTACGAGTTGATCGAAGAAGAGGATGAGGAAGAATAGGGGGTATTTTGGACTTTCTATGAAGGAATTGTTTATAAATATTAAAAATTATAAATAATAAAAATGAGATTATAAATAATATTTTTCTTTCAAAATTTTTAATATTTCAAAACTATCTTTTTGTAAATATACATAAATATCATATTTCTCTTTCACCTTGTTTTCCTTTTACTCTTATTCTTTTTCTTAGCATCAAGAGGGTAACAAGCATAGTTGAAACATAAGCTAAGGGACAACGACAATAAAGAACAATAATAATAATAATAATAATAATCATCATCATCATCATCATCATGATGTCATATATTTCCTCATTATTCATTGTTGTACTATGGCACATGACTTGCTGCAACTCCTCCTTTTCTCTCTACTCAGAACACAAATTATCCTTGTTACGCCTTAAGGTTGACTCTTCATCAGTCGCTTGTCTTCTTGAATGGGGTCGCTTTCCCTTAGTCAAATGGAGCTCAATCTAAGCAATTTTGGTAGGCAGAACAATTAATTCTGTGTCGTGACTCTTTGGATCAATACATAGTTTCTGTCCCAAAAACACATCTTGAGCTTTCATATCAACATTTTTGTCATCTCCTACCGTAGCTCACTTCATATTCCACGGCGGCTAAGTCCTAAGACTCTATCCATTGCTTCTTTCTCTTTCGATCTTCCAGCCAGTTCCCTTCGGTGCACTGCTAGCATATGACCTGTTCTTAGCCGCCATGCTTGTCTCCACCACGGCTTCGAAGCATCTTGTTGACATGCGACACTTGCTGCAACACCAGCCATCCTTATTTCACTGTATTCGATTATACTTTGACTTTTCAAATTATCGAACATCTCTCCCACCATTTTCCTCTTTTTCTTGCAGTTCAGATGAAGTTAGCAGCCATATCCATTGCTGGTAAATGACCTCCCAAGTTTAACCGATGACTTCATATTCTTGCAGTATAAGATATTTGGTGGTCATGAGTCAACATGGTCAAAGATTTACATACATTTCGTTTTTCTAGAGGTAAAAGTAGTGAAGAGAAGTCAAAGTGTCACATTTCATTTGAAAGGCCTATTTGACATTATTGCTTAAGCTGGCATAAAGTTTATTTATATTGTCAGCAAAAAAAAATTATAGTAGAAAAGGTCAACTCTTGTGATCTTAACAATAATATGAATTCAGATATGAGCCTGCTGATATGACTGATCAAATAGGACTTTGTAATTTGAGTGGTCAAGAATTGTCTGCTGAGTCCAACTCATAATTATTAGGTTGTGCCAGTCATATATATCATTATTTGCGGTCAGCGTTCTTCCCATTCCTAGCCGTCTTGTCGTAGACTGTCAATTCTATGGAGATCATTGGATTCTCTAAGCATGGATACTATAGATCACAAGATCAAACTCATTGTTTTTTCCCCTATATATCACTAAATCACAACATGGAAATAAGTATTTTGATTAGATAATGGAGAAGGAACAACTATGAATCTGATCCTCCTAAAAGTCTCTTCTTAAGATGATTGTCAGGAACTTTAAGTCAAACAAGATCTTTATTAGATCATTTTGAGATGTTTGCTGCTATTAATCTTGACAGGTTTACTGGCCAACATTTGTGTTCCTCTCTTTGGCAATAGTCCTACTTATGGCAATCTTGCTGAAAGTGAAGATTCATATGCATAATTTTTCCTGATCCAATGGATTTTTAAGTTCATAGTATTATAAAACACTTTAGATTCACATCGTAAACAAAATTGATATCTAATGCATTCAAAAATATAAGCATTTTGTTTGACAAGACCAAGCATTTAGTATCACCACTAGAATAGTGCTTGGCCAAAAGTCTTCATGAGGCTGCTGCCACCATTATAAATCCTCACCCCAACCCCTTGGGGATGGAAGCATTGTGAGCAGCTTTCCACATCTGGTTTAGACATGGCTGGAATGAGCTTTTCTTGTGCAGCTGCTTCATCACCTGTGCATTCTGTCAAAGGGAAGGCCTGTAGATGGAGGAGACACATTTCGGCATGTCATCTTACTGCTAACTCACACCCCTTTAAGAGCCTCCATGGCTGCTTTGCATCTCCCTCCTCACTCCAAGATCATCAGGTATCTGATATCAGAACAATCAGTAGTTGTCTTTCCTCTCTGTATATGGTGATACATTCATTATGCAGCTTTAGAGCATCCTATGTTGTCAAATGGACAAATGATTCTAAATTGCTTTGAATATTTCAGCAAATAGAATTGTTTCACATGTCATGGGATTTAAACGACTTAATAACAAAATTAGAGCAGAAAGTAATCAAAAGCACAACAGTCTTTCGTTTTGCAGCAGTGTGACAAAATTAGATCTTTAGGGAAGAAAAAGTATCTATAACCAAAAGTTAACATCCGTCAAGTTTTATTGCAAGTGATTCTCATTGCTAAAATTCTATCAAAATTCAGATAAATGTCCATTTTAAAACAAGAAAGCTGATCTCTGCTAAATACTCTTTCTTAGCTAGAAAAGTGTTCTGTTAAATAGTATCTATCTTGATGGAATATAAAGAAAGACTTGTGTGATTCAATTTCTTTTGATTTGCTAAATGCCTAAATTGTTTATGCTGATACTTTATGCCCAATTAACATATTTATATAGTTTGTGATTCAGCTAAACAGAGCTAAATTGACCTTAAATCTGCACCTTTTTTTCTTTTGGTTTCTGATAGGTTCATTCAGAAGCTGATTACTCTGCTGGAAAGATCGAAGAACTGAAGATACGTGTAGGATTTACATTAAGAACTGACATCCACTCGACGCGCTCCATGGTACTAGTCGACACGATCCAACGCCTGGGAATCAGCCATCAGTTTGAGGATGAACTCGAGCTAATCCTGGATCGAAACCCCAGTGCTGCACAAGGTGATGAAGATGATCTCTTTAGCACTACCCTCCGATTTAGATTACTCAGGCAAAGAGGCTACAACGTGGATACCGGTAATTAGTAATCTCTTCTTGTTTCTTCGAACATTAATGCACTTGTTTCGTGTTCATGATGCCTTTGCTTCCATCAACAGATGTCTTCCACGAGTTCATGGACAGGAAAGGCCACTTCAAGGAGTCTCTGAGCAAAGACTTAGCAGGTCTTCTGAGCCTGCATGAAGCGTCTTACCTGGGTGTGAGAGATGAAGAGGTGCTATCGCAAGCCATGGGTTTCAGCGAGGAACACCTTCGGAGATCGATGCTCAATTTGCGCCCTGTTAGAGCTAGAGAAGTTAACCTGGCCTTGGAATTCCCCAGGCAAAGGAGGATGGTGCGATCCGAAGCCAGGAGTTACATCGGCAAGTATGCGCAAGAAAGCGGTAGGATTTCGGATGTGTTGCAGCTCGCAACCCTAGATTTCAATCTGGTGCAGTCACAGCTCCGGATCGAGATTGCAGTTCTAAGAAGGTAAGTTGCTTCTTTGATGCCTATAAACGAGTGATCGTTGCATGAATACCTTTCCTGTGTTTCAGCTGGTGGAAGGAGTTGGGTCTCGCAGAGAAGCTCAGCTTCGCGCGAGATCGGC